CAGTTACACTGATTATGTAAGTTGCATAAATCTGACACAATATCAAGTTACTACTCAGGGGGAATACCTACGCTCTTGGTCATGTTTGTGGTTAAAAAATACATCTTTTCAGATTCGAGTGAAGCATATGATTAGCCAAGGAGGACTTGGCCAAGGCCAGATGAAAATGGGATATAATTGCAAAGCAAGTTCAGGGAGGATGCTCGAAACGAACACGGAAAACCTTCTCCGCATGGTATCTATTGGCAAGATTCCCTGTGTTTGCTTTCTAAGTTCTAAACTTCTAACTCTACTTGCTGAGATATATTTCCATATTTTGCTGCTTCAGGTTAGTTACTGTGAAAATGAGGTGGATTGTCGACGTTTCTTACAGCTAGTTCATTTGGGAGAAAAATTTGATTCGACAAACTGCAAAAACACATGTGATAATTGTTCCAGCAGCAAAATTTTGATTGACAAAGATGTAACTGTGATTGCAAGGCAACTGGTATAGGATTCATCTGAAGTTCATCATTACTTTACCTGCTGGATGTTGTACTAGTTACGTACCTCAATCTTTTGTGCCTGGATAGGTGGCACTGGTTAAGCTAACAGGAGAAAGGTTTTCGTCAGCTCATATTGTAGAAATCTACAGGGGATCCTTAAACCAGTCGGTATGCACAACTTACACTTATATTTATTCTATTTCCAGAATCTGATAACCATTTATGTCTCACAAATCATGTTTACTTTACTTCGCTAGTACCTTCAAGCCCATATCCTACCAGTGTCACTCACTTGCAAGTAATTGGCTTTTGATTAGGTCAAGAGAAACAGACAAGACACTTTGCACCTCCACGGAGCAGGAAAGCATTTAACTAAAAGTGAAGCCTCTCGTATTTTGCACTACCTTGTGACAGAGAATATTCTCGCAGAGGGTGTTAAAAAAAGTGAACTGTATGGATCTGTATCGTCATTGCTGAAGGTACAAATAATTCTTATATCGGTTTTTACTATGTTTGATGTTGTAAAAGAGGTCTTTGTGGATATGTATCATTGTTGCTGGGGGTTTGTTTCTGGTAACATATTGCTTTTTGCGCTTTTCTCTCTGGTTAAATTATGCTTAAGAATGAATGTGTGCGTGTACACAGGTGACATCTATTTATCTATCTTTCTGTATAGGTGAACAGATCAAAGGCGGCCTCGCTCTTATCTGGAGGCCAGAGTATAACACTGAGGTTTGACTTTACACTCGAGATATATCTTTCTTTAATGTTCACATAAACTACTTGCAACCAAATTGATGTCATTAGTAGCTCAAACGTTGGGAAATGTTCTGAAATCTAACTGTTCTTACTGCAATGTTATTGCTGCTCTTCAGTAGTTCTATATTATTGAGCGAGCTAATAGAGTTGGTTATATGTTTATTCGTTTTGAAAAAGGTTAGTTTTAGCTAAGACTTGCATATCTCTTACAGATTTCCTTCGACCATAAAAGTGTCAAAGCAGAGCAAATCCACAGCAAATCCAGCAAAAGTTCCACTTAAGCAAACTACCCTTCCAATGGCAAAAGCTGCCCCACAAGATTCGGTATATCTTCTTGTATCCTTGTTTCTATCTATTGCTCAAAGATTAAAAACCACCACTCTAAATTGCTAAAGGCTGCTTATTTTTTCTCAATGTCGGTCTAGAATCTCTCCGGCATTTTGTTGACAGCCTTGAAAAATCTTCGGACTGATATTGTCAAAGAATCGCCAGATTTAGTCATGGCATATCATATATTCGGGTAAGTTGACGATCCATTTAATGATATTTTCAGTTTCTTTCTCAGATCATAAGTAATAGAAAAATCCTTGTGTGTTTATAGCAATGCGACGCTTAAAGAGATAAGTAAACGACTTCCCAGAACCAAAGAGGAACTCCTTGATATCAATGGTCTAGGAAAGTAAGTATCTTGAAGCTTTTTGAACGCTACTCTCTCTCTTTGTATAACCAAAGGTATGAAGAAAACTCGGGGGATTTTGGTGTTTTAAACTCTAAACAGAGCAAAGGTGAGCAAATACGGAGATCGGTTATTGGAAACCATAGATTCAACCATCAACGACCACTACAAAACCCGTCCCGGTTCAGGGAAGAGGAGAAGAGACGAGAACATTAATCCGAATGTAGCAGAAGATGATGATCCCGATTGGAGTGCGAGTCAGTCTCACAAAAAGGTAGTGAAGAACAAAAAATAACACGTTCATAAACTTTAAAGGACCCAAACAAACTAAAAAATTAAGAAGCTATAGAAATCATTTACATTTGCAAAAATAGTAATTCAATACCATCTGTCAAGCAACATATTTGCCCATACCGGGGTGTGATTTAGGGTTAGGTTAAATAAACCTTTACACCTAATCCACCATGTCCCATGAACTATTGTTAATATGTCATATTCTGCAACTATTTATATACTCATGCAATTCAAATCATCCTTTCGGTATCACGTGTCAAATTTTCCTCTTAATTAAGTTAAATCATAATTAAATTTGTCTAATTGCAAAACCCTAGTTTCAATGGGTTATCTTATAATCTCAATTCACGACCCCTAAATGTCTCCACTGCGAACTATTTAATAACCTCTACCAAATATTAGTTTCAACGACTCCTCTGTCCATAATCGCATCTTAGCCACTCGACAAACAGAGGAAAGAGACGATATAGAGTGTCTCTTGTCGCGCAAGAAACCGTCTCTAAGGTTAGGGTTTTGGCATATGAGAGAATGTGAACATAAAAAAAGGAAAAACAAGTAGAAAAGAGTAGTACTCTTATGTATTTTACCAAAATAGTTCCAAAAAAAGGTAATCTTAGGAAACAACCCCTTTGCCAAAAAAAAACAAAAGGAAACAACCCATTATGGAAATTTTCTTAATAGAGAATGAATCAATAATGTAAAAAGTTGAGATATGGGAAGAGAGTACACTAGTATAAAGAGAGGACGATGAAAACAATCTCTGTCTTTCTGTGTAATTAGCTTTCCTTCAAGTTTCAAACAATCTCTGTCTGTGTAATTTGGCTTTCTTCCTTTGAAGTTTCAATATGGGAGGCACAAAAAGAAAGATAGAGATGAAGAGAATCGAAGATAAGAACGTGAGAGCAGTTGCTTTCACAAAACGCAAAAGCGGACTCTTCCACAAAGCTTCAGAGCTCTGTCTCCTCTCTCCGGGAACTCAAATCGCAATCTTAGCAACTCCTCTTTCTTCCCACTCTCATGCTTCTTTCTAATCTTTCGGTCATTCCTCTGTCGATCACGTTGTCTCCTCTCTCCTTCACAATCAGCATCCATCTCTTCCCACAAACCAAGATAACAGTTCAGGGTTAGGGTTTTGGTGGGAAGACCAAGCCTTTGACAGAATGGAGAACGTCGACGAGTTGAAAGAGGCAGTCGATGCGGTTTCGAGGATGTTGAACAAAGTGAGGCTACGATTAGATGATGCCGGGAAGAGCAATCAAAGAGATGGAAGTTTAGTGATTCATCAGGAGGATGAGGAGGTTCTTCAGCTTGGCTACAAAGACACAAATCAAATTACCAAACTCGAAGGTGAAACTTCCGCTTCTGCAAGTTTGTTAAAGAACGTAGTGGATAATCTACACATTGATGATCGTTATTACTGATTTCAACATTGATCCTTTGATTTTACCAACTTACTTAATCATCATGTCTTGTTTATTTAGGCTATTATCTAATCTAGCTGTGCATTATTATTTTTTGGATTTTTTCGGTGTTTTGGTTTGGGAAAAAAAAAACTACTAATATAAAACCAAAATTTTGTTCAGTTTGATTGAGACTGAAATACATTTAATTAAATAACAAAAGAAAGGTTCATTGTCGATTTTATTAACAAAACAAGTCAGTTGTCCAGCCTTTGGTATGAAGAAAGGTGGCGATTAGGTCTCTGTACCGTTTCTGATGCTTCTCGAACTCTGTTGGCTCTGTCTCGGCCTCGTGGTGGCTTGGTACAGTTGTGTGTAATTCCATTGGAGATAGAGAAAGAGGATTTGAGAAACTCATGTTGTGTTCTTTTCAAGATGAGTGCTGGTCTCTGTGTCCATGAAGCTAGTTTTCCCATATATTATTGCTGCTATAATCGTAACTAAACCTATCCTTAAACTTATCCATTAGATCGCAGGGAATGTTTCATTCTAAGACATGTAACTATTCTTATCTCTAGAGATTTCATACCAAACAGAACAAACGAAAAGAATTATCTCTAGAGATTTCATACCAAAAAGAAAATGAAAGAAACATAAATTCCTCCTAATGAAACAAAATTGAAATATAAGATCCACTAAGTTCCTTATGCACACATATTATGCACTGGCCTTCTGTATTTAGAATCATCTCTCTTGTTATAAATTAAAAAAAAAAAAAAAAACCAATAATCACCAACTCAAACTGCAAAATACAACAACAAAGAAAAAGACCAAGAAGATTAAATACATCATTTTTCGGTTTCTAAACAATGGCTGCACACAAAATGAGTCTTACTAGTCTTTTCTTTGTGTCAATAGTGATTGTATTATCATTGTTCAGCGGATTCGGAGAAGGAAGATACATAAAATATAGAGCTATTGCAAAAGATAGAGTTCCAGACTGCACTCAAGATCCCAAAAATTGTGTCAGAGTTCCAGTCAACCAGTACCATCTTCCTCCTGGTTGTCAAAACACTACACATTGTTATCGTGAAAAGTATCATATTTAATTATGTATTCATATATACAAATCATTTTCTACTAAATATGAAAAAAAATTTATCACTAATCTACATTATTGATGTGATATGGAACTTGTTACATTATCAAATTTTAATTATTTTAAAATTCTTTCATTTTTTTTAACTTCAAATTATTGTTATATATATTTTAATAAATTATAAATTAATGTGTTATCAGGCATAACTTCAAGTTCGTGTAACATGAGATGTGTCTTGTGAAAGCATGACATGTAACTTTCGTTGTAAAATAAAATAAAAAACAAATGAGCTCAGATATGAGGCTATATCATCCGATTAATCGGAGAATTGCTATGGACCCAACCTTAGCTTAAAGCAAATTTCATCAACGCTCAAATGCACCAGCCGGGAATTGAACCCGGGTCTGTACCGTGGCAGGGTACTATTCTACCACTAGACCACTGGTGCTACTTGCCTACTATCTTACTTTTTTAATATAAATCCAGTATTTCACGTTTAGTGAGAGCAATTGCACATGTTCCAGCATTGCATTTAGAAACTGATGTGGTTTGGTCTTTTAGTTTTTAAAAGGACAATAATATAAACTGATGTGGTTTGGTTAGTGTTCAATGAAACCAAAAGCTACTATTACCAACACACACCTTAATTGATTGTGCCTGGACAAGTACTATTGCAGTCAGATTCTAGACAAATTTCTCCATTTAGTAGAGAGAGAACTAAACATGTAAAAAACTTAAAAATAAAAAAGAACCAAACTTGTTGCTAAGAGATCCAAACTAAAAGCTTAAGAAGAAGACGATAGATAGCTCAGTCTTCGTAGTCGCCTTGGGCATACTTGTCTTCGGGGTAATACACAGCCACTACTTGGTTTCCTCCAAATTTTCTTCCATTCATCCCCGATCTGGCCTTTGATGAGCCATCCACATCCGCATACTCTAAGAAAACCTGCATTAGTATTACCATTAGAGTATGCAATTTATATATGAATTTGGTAGACATTTGTATCTGAGGACTGAAATCTAACCTTCCCAACTCCTGGTGTTGGGTCATGATCTGGATTAGGCCTCGGAATCACAACATTCACTAAGTTACCTACACACACAACAATGATTTATCAAAGTTCATTTTAGACCATGAGCCTCAGTAATGTGCTATTGGTATAATGTCAGAACAGACAATAAGAAAATCTAATTGCTTACCGAATTTTCCACCTTCTTGTCGCATGTCCTCCATTATCTCTGCATATTCTTCATCGTCTCTAAGATCATCAGCTGTAACCACTTGAGTCAAACAGACAATCTTGGTGGGAGTACCTCCTGGTTGGAACATAAGCCTCTGCAACAAAGTTTGAGACAGATTTAGCATTACTGATCATTTAGATAGAGTGAATCAGAATCCTTTACCTGCAAAGCAATCTGTTGTTGGGCATAAAGTAAGACTTCTTCTTGCTCGGGTTTAGGTTGAATTGCACCCTGGATTGCACGCCTAACTGTAAGTGTCTTATCACCCATCTTAATCCCGTTTAGAGCGGCACATGCAATATCTGTTACTGACGGATCTTGGTAAACACAGAATGCATATCCCTTCGAATTTCCAGTCTCCCTGTCTTTGACCAAGTTGAAACCTCTTAGGGGCCCAAAAGACTCCAAGAGCTCCCTGATCTGTACCTCTGTGAAGTAATAGGGAAGTCCGCCCACAAAAATGCGGTCGGGACCCTCAAGCCCACCAGTAGACCCTGAAGACAATCCAACAGCCCCTAAGTTGAGGTTGGGATTAGGCTGGCTCGGACCAAGAGTTGCAGCAAGAGACGGGTTATAGTCAGTTGGCCTCCTCACCTTTACAGGAACTCCCTAGAGATGAAAAAAGCTATGATTTCAGATAGGTTTCAATACTCATAATACAGATTGTAACTAATAAAAACCAAACATCTAAAGTGTAGAAGAGCTAATAAATCACCTCTAATATAATGCCGTCTAATGCCATTGCGTTACTAGCCTCCTCAACAGATCTCATCTCTACAAAAGCAAACTTCTTTTCGTGGTTTATATAAACATTGACCACCGCATCACCTATGAATTAATAATCCAAAAAAAGGATGAGATTTCGTATAGACTTGCGGCCAATATGACAAAAATATAATGAACTTTTCAATACCTGGCCCAGCAGTGTTTCCCCCAATGGCCGACATCACTTGGCTAAAGAACGTTGACACCGACTAGGACATGAAAACCCATTCTCAGTAGGCATACAATGGATATTGAAATGTGGTTTAAATAGACAATAATAAACAAAAAGTCACAAAACCTTAAACAAAACAAAAGTAACAAACCTGTTCATTAGCAGTTGGTGGAAGGCCACCAACATAGACTCGCCGAGCATGCCTAGTTGCCTGCGACTACATATTTTAGGAAGGGAATCGTGACAAAAGGTGAAGAACCTAAGAATAAGATAGATTGATAGATCGTACCTGTTGAGTCATTGCCTGAACTGGCAGTACAGGAAGCGCACCTAGTTGCTATGTGAGAAAAAAGATTGAGAAGTTCTGAGCATGTTCGCATAAAACAAAAGAAAAGAGGAACATAAGAGACACAAAAATACAAATTTTTATACCTGACCAGGGACCATTGGAAACATGTTTGAGAACATCCCTGGAATAGTAGCAGTAGTTGGCACACTAGGAACCTGGCCTGCTAGGTAAAGTAGTATGCGTCATAAAAATGTTTGTTAGATACATTATTATGTTTCCCGGAGGAGCAGACCTACCAACAAGTACAAAGCTACAGATAACACCTTGCTACTTACAAAACCCACAAGTAGAAAGTATACCAACAACTTATGAATATTAAAATGAAAAGTTGTGATGTAATATTCGTTTTAGTTGTCAGAGATTGTAAGGCTCGAAAACAGGCATATAGTTGCCAGTCGAAGATGAAAAATACCCATGACAACCGTTGCACTGATTCCTCCTTGTACAATTAAAGCTAGAGAGGTCGGCTCATTGTCAGCACAGTGGGGCAACTAACCCAACATAGCCTTCTTACTACAAAAAGACAAGACACAGAAACAAACAAACACCACCAAAAAAACACAAACAAAAAATTTCTCAGTTCCAGAACCACCAGTCAAACAAAAATAACAAGACATCCTATGAAGAAAGCAAGACTTCAAAGTCCTCTTTGTTCACGAGTAAACAATAAAATTGCAGCTTACCAAAGTCACACCGTGTAATTGACTATGATCTTTCCAAACTACGTAAAATCAAAAACAACAAGCAGTTAAGAAATATAATAACCCTGAGTAGATGATGAAGCAAATACCTGCTGCAGCAACAGCAGTAGCAGCTAACATATCAGGAGGCGCCATATCAAATCCACTTCTCCTCTTGCTGAAAGAGCAAAATATAATTGGTTAGACATCAGTAGAGACGAGTTCGAAAAAATAATGCCAAGTAAACGTATGAAACACACATAAACATCAATGACCCAGATCAGACTAAAATATTGGTAATCATATAAGGAGGGACCGTTCAACCCAGTAGAAGACCATGATAATCATATTGTGTCAACAAAACAAAGACATCAAATACTAAACAATAATGGTTTTATTTGATTTGACATCAATATCATAACACATTGCAATGTGGCCACGGAAAGAACTAGTTAGAAAAGATAAAAATAGCAGGAGAGCCCAGGTACCTCTTTGACCTTGATCGCGACCGTGAGCGTGATCTATGTTCAGACTTATGTCTATGTTCTGACCTTGACCTACGTTCAGAGCGGCTCCTTGACCGAGAGCGTGACCGTCGCCTGTGTCTCACCTCTCTGTCTCGATCGCGAGACCTCCTCCTGTCGAGAAATGACTACACCTTCAATTTTAAGAATAAAACAATCTAAAACTACAAAAACAATTGCAACACACTAATGAGTACCTATCACGGTCTCGACTTCTGCGATGATGATCATCATCCAAATCATCTCTTTTCTCACTACGTTCTCTGCTACGGTCCCTATGACGATCTCTATGATGACGGTCTCGTTGCCTATCCTTACTTCTCTCCCTATCCCTATCTCTATCTCTGCTTTTCTCCCTATCTCTGTCTCTGCTCTTCTCCCTATCACGATCCTTCTCACGATCACGATCTTTGTTTCCGTCTTTATCACGTCCATTTTCATTGTCTTTCTCACTGATTTTCGAAGAATCCTTTTTAAGATCATGAGATTCCTGCAGGAAACAAATGTCAAAAGGCTTCTCTCATATACTATCCCCAGATTTCTAAAGAGAACATATGAACTTAACATGATAATATATGCTCTAAATCCAGTGAATCCTTCAAATCAAACTATCAAAAACATAAATTCAACAAGCAGAATCCGAGAATTGTACCAAATTACAATAGAAGTGGAGAACAAATTATGATTACCAGTCTAATTCACGAGAGAAACCTAAAAGCTACAGAATCGAACGCAAGATATGTAAAGAAGAAAGTGTAACATACTCGAGACTTGGAGTCTTCATGAAAAGGCGAGCTCTCTAGAGATATGTAGTTCTCGTTGTGGTTTTCGGTGGAGATAGCGACACCATCTCCGTTGCCTTCGTAACTCATCATCCACTTGTGATCTCTTCTCCGATTGGTACTTATCGTTAGAGTCTGATTGTGTATGGAAGAAAACCCTAGGGATTCTAATGGAAGATGAATTAAAAATTATGAAGATTCTTCGAGGAAGATGAAGTGATATGGGTATTATTGTAAATTGAACAGAGTTTTTTTTGGTGTTACACCAAAACCGTAAATGGGCTTGTCTAGTCCAAATTTGAAAACTATGGTCTCATTATACTTAATGGGCTTATCAGCTTTATCGGCTTATAGTCTAAATTTTAAATTTTTAGTTTCTATCCAAAAAAAAACTAAAATATTTAGAAATTTGATCATTCTAATACTGTTTTATTTTTGTGTAATTAAGGGTTGATTATTATATGTGTTGTGTTTTTATCGGAGTTTAGTTTGTCTTTTTTTTTTTGTAGGTTGTGTATTTAGTCGAGTTAATGACTTTTAAAAGTGTGTTTTATAAGTGTTTATCTGATAGTTTAAAGTCACATATGTTTCTAGGCGTAACTAGCAATTGAAGATGAAAGACTACGTTAAAACATCATAAATATCTCATTCGTTTAGAGTTTCTCTCACCATGGCATGGATCAAATTCAATTGTTGACACAAAATATTACAAAAAAGAAGAAGTTGAAATTAGCTTTCATTTGACGGTGGCTTGAAGTTAAACGTACTGATGTATTGGAAAAACATACGATTCTAGTGAAAACAAGTTAACCTAACAAACATATTGCAGAGACTGGTCCACACTCGATCCCTTCATGGAC